TCCAGTTCTATAACTGGAGGGTCAAGATGTATATCACAGACAATATTTGTTGCTAGGGGATTTAATTCCTACACTGTTCTTTGTGACAACACCTCTTGCTGGCCACTCTAGAGAACAACAGTGAAATTGTCTGTACAAAGAAACCACTTGCAACCCAGCCAGAGTTAATGTATTGGAAGAGAAAACCAAGTAGTGCCATACTTTCTTAGTACATGGGAAGGCTGCAGGTTAAGAGAAAGCAAGTTAGAGATAACTTTATGGGATTCAACATACCTGAACATCCAACAACTTCCCTCTAAACTACTTAATAACTAATTTCATAATTAACATGATGCATATATTTTACTCTTAAAGTGTAAAATGTTACAGAAAATCTATTTCTTTTAAATATGAAAACTATTTGTATAAATTCTAGGGCAGGTTTTTACCTGATCTACAGTAATCTTTGACAACCCAGTTAATTAAAACTAAAAACTGATTAATGAAACAAAGAAGTTCCAACCAGAACCTACAAGCCCTCTTTAACAGAGTTGACATTAGATATAATGAGCTACATTTATTCTTCAGCTGTGTGAGAGAACTAACCTCCTGAATGGTACTGCTTCCTGAGAAGTTGAGGTTGTACTCCCGCTGGACTTCTCGATGGGTGATGATCAGCATGAAGTTTTGATTTAATGACTCCTGCAGGGCCCTGAAATGGTTGAAAGAAAAACAAGAAAACCAGGGATAAGCATGTTCTAGCTTGCTTTACCGTTAGCTGCAAAAACCCCAGGAGTAGCCGAAACCCAACATGGACAAGTCTAGGCACAATGTTATCATCTCTTTTTCTGCTCCTAAAGACAAGAGAGCATGCTGAGAATGACCAAAGGCTAACCTGCTAACTCCTTCTCTGGTAAGGTGATTGCCACCTCAAAGGCTATGTTTTACTCTCTCTTAATTTAAAAAAAAAAAAATTAGGCCATGCCATTATCATAAATATTAGCTATATTTAGAACATATATTTTTTCATTACCAGGCTTGCAAGTATATCTACATTCAGACAAACAAGCTACAATATACATCGGAAACCTATTTTAAATACAGAAGGAGAAATCCTGCAGTGACTTCAGCGAGGCTTCCCGAAATGTAAATCAGGGCAAGATTTGACCTATATAGAATAATTCAGCTCATATAAATCCAGATAGATAAGAAACAGAAAACTAGCTAATATAGTTTTTATGAATAAGGCTACTTTAGTAAATATAATTAAACAGGTTATGCTAAAACACCAACACAGTATTTATATTAACTCATCTATTCCAAGGACAGCTGAACAAAACAATGTTTATCCACTTTATTTTCCTGTATCATGCTCTTCTGAGAATGATAAACTTTGTGATCATTCAGATCTGCACAACTCCAGGTTACTGTTTTCCCTTTAAACCCAAATTTGCCTTTGACAATGAAGAAAAACTGAAGAGCAGACCTCCCATGCTGATGAGCACAATTATACCTTAAGAAAGATTTTCATATTAACATGAAAGCCCCAGTTTGCTTTCTTTTAATAGAATAGCTGATTATGATCTGCATTTTTTCAACACAAGGTTTATTCAACACTCATTTGAAGATGTCCACAAATTAATTTGTTTTAGATCTCAAGTTAAGTTCCCATATAGAAAATAACTATGTAAGTAAATTTATTTCCATCTTTTCCAATCCCAAGAATAACTTACAATAAAAATACATGATAATACTGCAGAAGTCAGCCAATGTCTTTTACGTCTTTAATAACTGTAATATTATAAGGTACAATACATGACATGTACATAAGTGAAAAAGTAATTCTATACTTCATACCTGGAGTTGACTGCATCTGCTACAAACTAATTCTAGAAAGTTTTAAAATTGTTAACTGTACTTCAACAGAGATTAAATATTTTCTGGAAAAACACATTCTTAAACACGTTTTTACTTCCTCATAATGGAGTTTGGATTGTGAAAACTGACTGACTGTTAGCCTAATTTAAAAAAAAAAAAGTATCACTGGTGTTTACTATTATAACAGCATTAATAAAAGGAAATATGGGCTGGAATGCAAAACACAACTATACATGTAATGCAATGCCCGTATTAAGTCTGCAACTTTTTTGTGTTGGAGAGAGTTCAGTGGAAAGTCCATTATACCCTGGTCTCTTTTTATTCCTTCCTTTCAGAAAATTGCTGTCTTTAAAAATTCTCTCTTTCAAATTATCAGTCATTTGTACGTTCCAGTATGGATGGACACACATACAGATATGCATGCTTTTTACAGCATCACTTTACAATAAATTGTTCTAACACTACTGAACAATTTAGCAACAAAAGTTAAAAGCCAGTCCTGCAAATCTATTGCACGTAATCTTGCTCACTATAATACTTCAGGGCACGAAACATGTCTGTTTTGCAGTGGTGTAGGGACACAGCCAGGTGCCCGGGGACAGGCGCAGTGGCAACTTTCAGTTGCTGCATGTTCACAATTGTGATTGTGCAGCTGGCAGCAACAGCTTGTTTTTTTCACTCCCTCCCCTCCCAAAATTAGCACGGGGGTGTTTGCCCCATTTGCAAAGACGTAGTTTCATTCACTGTGCACAAGGGGTGGCAGCACAAGGGGTGTTTCATTCATTGGCACAAGGGGTGTTTGCCCCGTTCACTAAGACACTGCTTTTTTGCAAAACACAGTCCAAGCTTTTGACATCCTGGGAGCTTGCTAAGAACGTCCATCAAGTCCCTTGGAAGCCATACCTAATGTCAGTACATGTAACGGATTCTGACAATCGGAAATTGGTCAAGAAAAAAACGACAGATTATGCAACCCAAAGCACTCCCTTGTCATGGACTGGATAGTTGTGGTCTTAAATTTTGTTCCTGTTCAGGAAACCACAATGTCTTAAGAACAGGTGTCAGCAACCCAAAGTCCCGGGCCTGATCCGTTCCACAGAGCCACACGATCAAGCCTGTGGACATGGGGCTTCTGTGGCAGGGAGCTTCCAGCAATAGTCACTCTGCCTTGCCGCTACAGGGAAAAGCAGTGGCAATGGCTAGGTCCTAGCACCTGTCCGCCTGACCGAAACTGGGTCATTCCAGCCCAGAAAGGTTACCGACTGCTGCCTTAGAACGATCAGTACTTGGAGACGCTGCACTTGCACAATGAATGAAACAAAGTCTTACTGGATGGATTCCCACAATCTTAAGCAGGCATTTCCTGGAAGCCAACACAACTTTAGGATGTACCTCACATGTCTGCCATCAGCAAAGCTGTTATATTTTCAACTTTCTGAAATTAAATTAAGACTGTGTACCTGTCTGTTTCCTTTTCTGGCCCATTCTTATTAGACTATTATCAATTGATCGTTATGTCCATGTTACATTTATTATGGCAAAAGCCAGACTGCCCCCAAGCAAGATTGAAGCACCAAAATTTCTGGTCATCTTTTTCACATCTTCTCTAACATTTTAGAAAATATCTACTTTCAAACTACACAACTTGGTTGGGAAAATGTTAGCATGTGAAGCTGACATACACAAAATTACACTGGAATATACTAGGAGTGCTTGTTACAGCTGCTTCCTACTTTTTTTTTTTTGAAAGTTTTCTGCAGTTGTTAACACTTGCTCTCTATTTCCCCGATTCAGAAGTCAGCACTATATATATCTCAGGCATTTATAAGGACATCAATTCCAGTGATATGTTGGCTGAAAATATGATCATTAACCAGAATTGCTCTTCATCAGGGGACAGTTCTCCACTCCTTCCTCATGCAGTATCTTATTTGAATTTTGCTGGAGTAGGAGATATAGACAGAATTGTTTTTCCTCTTATCTTCTCATCTGGCTATTTTACATGAAGAGTATAAAAAAATTAAGACCAAGACTTTCAAAAACAACTAGCCATTTTTGTGTGTCAGTCATGGCTGCCCAACTAAGACAGTGTGAAAAACCAATTGTCAGTGGTTGGCTTCTCAGTAAATTCTCTAACTCGGGCTCTTTTAGGATGGTCACAAACTAATGCCACAAAAACTGATGTATCAAAAAAATCACTCGTTGCTTCTGACAATCCTGGCATATAGCTATTAAATTACCTATTCTTCAAAAACGTACTAAGACATGAATAGTACAGTTTAATTATTAAATTAAAAGTATATTTAAAACCATTTCAAGTTATAGGCAAGTTAATAAAACAGGTGTTTGAAGGCAGGCTCCTAACTCCTTAGACAAGCAACTAAATAAGTAATTCTGATCTTAAAGGGTCTAAGAAATGAGAAATTCCTCAGCATTTTTGAGGATCCACCCTACACCCTCAGTTAATTACTGGGGGATCCACACACTTGAAAATGAGGATGGCACCCAACTTTTAAAATCTTAGCACAAGTGTTTCCTTCAAATGTGATCAGTTTAAGCAGAACAGACTTTTCCAGATAAAATATCAACAAAAATTTGGGCTAAATTCTGTTTCCTGCGGTCAAGATCTGAGTCTCAGTTAATGGATAGCAGCATATTCAAAAATCACCAAGTGATACTAGAACTATGTCCTCATTCTGCACACCCCAGCTCACAAAAGAATCCTTATTGATTGATGGACTTCATATTCCCATTTATTGCATTCCTGGCTGAAACAACTGCATACTTCATGGTCAGTGTGGGGGCAAGAAAACCTCATAATGCCATGTCCCATACACCACGGCAATCGGGTATGCATGTCCCCGAGATAACCAAATCCGGAAACTGGAATACAAAGTTTGTGGCCTGAAGGGAAGCTTCTCCCTATGTCTGGGCTTAGCAATGAAGGCTCAAATAAGTAGGTTTTCACAAGTACTATCACTTATATTACTTATTATTTGTATTCTCCAAGAGCCTAGAAGCCACCATTATGAACTAAGGCTCAAGTAAGGTTGGCACTATGAAATACACAGAAAAAGATGATCCCCTACCCAAAAAGAGGTTAACGTCTGCCTAATGTGCTTAAAATTAATAAAAGGTTGTGGGTTTTTTTACATCAGAAATCTCAATGCTCCAGTTGCAACTACTTGGTTAAACATACATGGCATATTTTGGTAATTATCTTATGCAAACAGTTCAAAAATTAACACAATACAACACAATACAACATACCTATCACACTATTCAAAGTTAAAACTTAGCTTCTGAAGAATGTGCGTGTGTGTGTGTGTGTGTGGGTACTTCCAATCCTGTAGCAGAAAATAAAGCTTACACTCTACCTATACAAAGCTGAGGAAGTTGGTTAGTAATTACAGTATTCTAATTTTTCATCACATTAAATGATCAGTTTTCTAGTTATTGTATAACACTCTAAAATCCTGATTAAAAAACTAGTTTCTTTTTATATGCAAAATAATTTGGTTATATATCACATGAAAGCCTCAAGGGTTATTTTCTATGCATTTGTTGGCAAACTAACATTTTAAAGCCCTAGGCGTTCTTTGAAATAACAAGAGTAGACTTATCCAACATGAAATTATAGAACTATAGGACTCAAAGGAATGGCTTGGGCCATCAAGGCCAGTATCCTGCATTCACAGGCAATCATTTATCTTGAGAGTATTAAAAATCATCCTCTATAGCCCGTCGTCCATCTCTTATTGTGGTCATGGTTTAATGCTTCATAAGAGGGGTAGGGATACCGATACAACATTCATGAGGGATTGGTTAAAAAAA